TGCTGGAACGGACTGCTAATATCGGAGCGCTTATATCGGACATTTTTTATGCCGGCCGATAAAATCCGATACGCGTTTTTTGGCTGATATCGGACCGATATCCGATATCAATATCGGATCGGGACACCCCTACAAAATACTTTATATTTTATACATTTATAAAATTGAAAACTAACCATGCATGTTTATGAGCCTAAGTGGAAATCATAAAACGTCTAACAATTTCCCCCCTTAAATCCTCCACATAGAAGTGTTTTTGATGCCTTCTACTATGATGTTTTTAAGACAAGGTGCCTTCCTAGTTTAACAGGCACGCAGAAGAAATGTCATATTTCTGATGCTCCAGAACATAAAACAGCTCTCTGACTGAAACTAGTAGATCTGAGAGCCTCCTTTCTGCTTACATGCTGTCAGCTCTGCAGCAAGAACGAAGTGCACATATGTCTTGGCACGGAAGTTCCTGTTACACACAAAGGCGACGAACTSCTCAGCAACACTGATTTCAGCAGACCTGGTCTAACAGGCAGGCAGCCGGGGWGGAGGCCTGAGTAGAAATAGCCTTCAGTCATAAACATCCTCCTGAAGGGCCAATAATGGCAGCTCATCAGAGAGGCTGTTTATCCCACATGTCAGCAGGAGAAGACTGAACTGCACAAAGCAAAAATTTCTCTGGCAACAAGGGAAAAAACAAAACAAGTACAAACTGAGTCCAAAAAACAAGATCTTTTAAACTGTTTGCGTGCATGAGTGCAAAAAGCATTTCAAAGTTTGCACATGGGGCCCTAATACTGACATWTAGAGGTGACAGTCAGACTAAAACCTTGGAAAATAGAACCCCTTGCCAGCCAACCAGCATCACTCCATTCAGGCCTGACCCATTTAAATTCAGCCGGTGTCCYAACTTTGCTGTAGCAACRTCTTCAGACAAAAGGGGGGCCTGGGTGCAGACAGGAAGGAGCTTGCAGCTGCAGGATGCATCTGTTGGTGGCCCCGAGGAAGGATGCAGAGCACTTTTCATTCAAAGAGAGATGCAGCAGTTTGAGAGAGATCTGTTTCACTTCGCAACAAATAGATCTTTCAACACCACATCCCATTTCAAGGGTGAGAGGACAGCCACAAATGTGGTTTAAAAAAAACAACAACACAAAAATTAATCCTATTTTTCCAATTTGCTTGTTTGGCAACATTTCTCATTGGATTCAAGAATCCTGCTGGTCTCCTAGGAGGCCACTTGTTCAGTCTGATAATGTTTAAACCTGAAAGCCTATTAGCTGCACAAAACCACAGAATAAGACAATACAAGGAGGTCCAACTTAAAATCTAAGTAGGCATGCAAATAAATGTATATCAGAATGTGCATTAAACATTTGCTGTTTTGCTAAAAGAAAAAAAACAGACTTCCACAAATCAAGAAACCCCTTCAATTCTAAATCAAGTAAGAAATAAGCACACCTCAACAAGAAACGTACTCGCTGAAACTTCCTCTCTGCCACTGCACACATACATCCTTAATGAGGTTATGGGTTACACACGGGCATAACTCTACAGGACATTGCGAGTTCCTGAGCTAAATATCACTTCTGCCTGGAAATGAGCTCATTGCTTCCTCTGCAGAAAACCTTTTGTTGCTGATGTTCCATAAACCTCATTGTGAATTTGTGTCAGTGTGCAGCTGTGATGTTTCCTTTGGTCCAAAATAAACGGCAGTCGTGCTCGGAAAGGGTCAGTGGCCAGAAGAAGCCGGGCGGTGCATTTGTTCAACAATGCATRTCTGATCAAAACATGTGAAACTAATGTTGCAATGCAAGGACTAATTTAGCACACAAACAGGGTACGAGCTTTAGTCGTGGATGTGGTTTTTGTTTTTCACTCGCTGCCAAAGGCAAAAGGGCAGTCGTGTTTTTCTTCACGTTTGCATACACGATTGTCTTTAGCGTCARCAAAATATCWYATGATCCACTGAATGGATTGCAGTGAAACTTTCAGAAAATATTAACTGGATTTWCCTCTGCAGCTGATTTCCTTTTGAAGTCAAACCCCCAGTCAAGATCAAGACAGGCACCACAGCTAAGTGACCACAGCAAACACAAACATTAGCTATTATCGCATGTCAATCTCACAGATGTTGACAAAAATTTGGAGTGGTAGTAGCTAGGGCTGTGTATTGGCAAGATTTTGGTGATATGATACATACCACAACACAGGAGTCAAAATATGATATATTGCGATATATTGCAATTAGGGCTGCAACGATTAATCGATAAATCGACGACTAATCGATTATTAAAATAATCTATGACTAACKTAATAATCGATTAATCGTTTTCTTTTTTTGTTCTTTACTTTGTTTTTCTCTCCAAACTGCTTTGACACCTTCCACTGCCACATCTGCCTTTCTGTCCTTGACACACATGCACAGTAGTGGTAACTGGGGTAGGCCGTGGACGTCACAAGACATTATACAGACAGGCTCTGGTATCATG